TCCCCTTCCCTCCCCCCGCCCTCTACCCTGCTTTAGCTCAGAGATGATGGCTTCTTTTCTTATTGAACCCACAGCCATCAGGAAAGGAATTGGATCTTGCCCCACAAGTAAATATATATACCACACTCACATGCTTTTATTTCCAATTTTCCACCACCGCCTGTGGATAGGTAGTATAGCATCAGTTTGGAAATCTGCAGGTCCCAGGGCCTGCTCTGAAAGCTGCTGGATGAACAAAGCAGATGGCACTGCACCAGGTAAAACAGTTCCCGAAGTGCTGGGTGGCTTAGTCAGTTAAGTATCCGACTTTGGCTCAGGCCACGATCTCACGGTTTGTGGGTTCGAGCCCCACATCAGGCTCTGTGCTGACAGCTCAGAGCCTGGAGCCTGTTTCAGATTCTGTGTCTCTTTTCTCTCTCTGCCCCTCCCCTACTCATACTCTGTCTCTCTCTCTGTCTCAAAAATAAACTATTAAAAATTTTTTTTAAAAAAAGATAAATAAATGTTAAAAATTTTTTAAGAAAACAGTTCCATTCCTCTTCCTCAATGAGGGTGAGACATTGTGTCTTATCCAATACTGACTAACTCAACTGAGATTTGGGACTGGGAGGGCTCCCGAGGCAAGAGGAACACCTGCAGTGTGGGTCTTTCCCCCAGCAACAGGGGACCTCAGCCAGTAGGAAGACTGAGCGCTGGGGCACAGCCACCAAGAAACCTCCCGGGATGGCCCCAGGCACTTTCTTTTTTCTTCGTGGAATATGTGAACGACCGTATTTAGTGGATGCTTTCATATTTTTATTCTGTCTCTGTGTTAATTCCTATCCGTAAACTTGACCTTGAAGTGGATCCAAGTGCCTGATACTCCGGGACCTCCAGGGGGCGCTGTGGCCCAACACTCAGCCTGGCCAGGAGCCTTCTGCCTAACGCACCACCTTGAATCTCTTTTCTGTGGTGTTGCACCCCCTTTTGGAGAGAGGGAGAGAGAGAGAGAGAGAGAGTTAGTTTTGATTTTTAAAATACTGTTTGAAGGCCCAGGCCTACAGGGAAAATGCTTTGCTCCTCTGCATCACCTATGATGCTCCAGGTGCTAAAAGCTTTCACCTCGAAGCAAGTACCGCGAATCCGCGCGTTCAGCTCTACCGGCCTTTACAGATGCCGTCCTGGTCTCAGGCTCCGGCCCTGCTACCGCACTGGCCCCACTACAGCATCTTTACAGCCCAGGTCACTCATTCTCGAGTGACACCGAGTGTTCACAAGGCTCTCCCTGCCACACTGTGATGCCCATAAAACACAAGACGTAAATACACACCCGGCATCCAAGAAACAGACCTGCTGGATTGAAAGCAGAGAGACTTATCTCCAACCACAAGGACTGACTCAGAATTTCCTCCCTGGCCTCCCACTTGCTGGCCCAACTGATATCGTCATCACTCAGAGGCCTTGCCCCTTGGTTCAGCGGCTCTAACCCAGAAGACTTTCTCTGGGGCTGCAGGCCCTGGGAAGCCTCAGACACCATCCTGGTTGGTTTTTTTTCTAGTCCATGTGGTTCAGAGTAGAAACCCACACAAGCGAGGAGCCCATCCAAACTGGCCTTAGCGCAGTGCCATTAACTCCCCCTTTCTGCCCCAGGTTAACCCTGGGCACCTATACCCCAACTCTACTTTGGGAAGAGTCTTCTAGAACCATGAAGATCTGCGACAGCCAAGCCTTTCAACCATCATGAAGAGGAATGTGGACCCTGTTGCTTCCAGAGAGGAAAGGGGGGCCAACAGTGAGGGGGCCAGCCGGAAGGAAGGCCTGCTGTGGACAGTGGGAACCTGTGTTTGGGAAAGCGTAAGATCTTGGGTGTCAGGTAAGCAAGGGACTAGCACAGAAAGGGAATGGAGGGAAGGTTGGCAAGGATCATTCAGATCAGGCATCAAAGGGCTTAGAGTGTCCCTAAACCGAGTCCCTAAAATGTCTACACGGGGAGCCACGAACATTTGGAAGTTTCTAAGCAAATGGTGGCAGGAGAATGGAGGGTGATTGGGGTGGACAGCCAGGGGCAGGGAGAGAGCTATGAAGGCCAGCATCAGACAAAGGCGGAGTTATCCTCTGAGCCAGAGTGGAGTCCAGTAGGGGACAAGTAATTTTCATTGCTAAAGGCACTCACTGTGGGCACTGGGGCAGGGAAGAGGACCCAGAGGGGGATCCTTACAATCTGACAAAGAGATGGCTGTGCTCAGAGCAAGGAAAGTATCCGAGATGAACGCCTGGGTCCCCAGCCTGATGGGCATCAGGAGGGGGAGGTGCCGTGGACAGACACGAGGGGTGGGGGGCAGGAGGAAGAGCTGGTTTGTGGAGACCAAGCAGCCCCATCCTCGGCCCAGAGGCAGAGCTACTGCGTTAGGGGCTCTCCATGGAAGTAGGTGCTCCCCTCGTCCCCAGGGAGTTGAGGCTGGCCCTGTCCTCACCAGCTGATATTCAGGACAGGCAGAAGCAGGATGGAGGTCACACTAGGAGATCATGTCCCCAAGACAGCATCTGAGGCTGTGGTAGAGCATCAGCTCTCTGAAGGGCGGAGGGAGAAGTCAGCAAGGCACAGCAGCCTGGAGCACTCATGGGAGCAAGAGAGGCAGAGTGCTCTGGCCATCAGGATGGCTTGGGGGTGGGGGGGAGCCCAGTGCCTCAGGGAGTCAGAGGAGAGAAGAGCAAACAGCAGCAGAGCTGGAAGGGCGCCAGACCACTAGGGTTTAGGAGTGGCTTGCTGGGGGCTGGCAAAGCATCCTTGGGGGCGTGCCCCCGGGACTCTTAGAAACAGGAGAGGCACATGTTTGAGGGGGAGGCAGGGACAAGGAGAGGGTTCTTTTAAGAATGGGGAGGTCTGAGCAGAGGAAAGATGGAGGACCAGATGAAGCCACATCAAGAGGTGCAGAAGATGGGACTTAGTAAAGAGGTCCCTGAGTCCACATGTTTATCAGGGGCGCAAGGAGAGAACAGAATGGATGATAAGCCGGAGGATGGATGAAAACCATGAACAGCTGAGAGAGACGGGCAGGGTCCTGCCGCCGTTCCACGGATCCCCCTCCATGAAGTAGGTAGGCTGTCCGCTGGGAATTTAGAGAGCCAGAGGTAGGTCTGAGGGTCGGAGAGAGGGGTGAAGCAAGTACAGAAAGCTTCGGGGGTTTCTCTGAAGCACTGCTTCTCAAATGTAATGTGTGCATACATCACCTGGGATCTTGTAAAAAAAAAAAAAAGTGGGTTCTGATTCAGCAGACCTGGGCAGAACCTAAGATTCTGTATTTCTAACAAGCTCGCAGGTAGTGCTGCTGCTGCTGCTCCAGGGACCACGCTGGGAGGAGCAGGGATTTAGAGTCAGATAAGGAGATGGAGAAAGAGACTGTAGAAGAATTCATCTTAGGGAGACATCTACCTTTGATCATCTCACCTAGGCTAAAAGCTGACACCTGGAGAAGTCTGGGTGGGAGCCACAGGCCCTGCAGGTGATGGGAAGGGGGACATGGAGCAGGAGGGATGGTAAAGAGACAAGAAGGCAAGAGAGAAGGTAGGGGAGCCCCCCAGGGTGATAGGAGGCCCAGCAGTGCCCCCTGAGACCCCTCATCTAGGTCAGTGTGGATGGCTCACTTAACTGCACACTTGGAGGTCCCCGAAGAGGATGGGAGGAAGCTGGGGCGGGAAAGTGGTATTCCTAGGGGAAGCTGAGAGGGCAAGCAGCAGGCAGAATAGGACACCCCCATGTTCTGCAGGGAAGTACTGGACCCAATCTGGGCTTGTTCAAAGCTTGGCCAGGACACAGCAGGCCAGAGTGTGAGGAGAGGGGCAGAAATGGCTCTGCTCCTGGGAACAAGGGGGAGTTGACTTCTGTGCCAGAAACAAAAAAGAATGGAAATACGCGAAGGAAGACTGGGGAGAAAGGCGAGGTGCGCTGGGCTCTGAGTCCTAACTCTGAGTCCCAAGCGTCTAACTTGGAATCAGAAATCAAGAGGTTTCAGCAAGGCACAGTCTGCAAACGAAAATGCCTTCAGTCTAGGCAACCCAAGGAAGGGGCCTAGGGACAGGGTGTGCAGGGCTGTCTGCGGCCCAGCCTAAGAGAGAGAGGGAGCTTTGAGTCCCGGGCTGAGGTTACACCGAGGTCAGGTTCACCAGGGGGAAATACAAGGAGGGCAGCAGGGGCGAGCAGAGAACGAGAGTAAAAGCTTGGAGGCGTCAGAATGAGCAGCAAGTGCAGGAACGGGACGTCAGCGTGGTACTCGGAGAGGGAGGCGAGGCCAGAAGCCCGAGCTCTGTCCCGCGGCGACCCCGAGGCGGCAGAGGTTTCCGAGGGCGGCGTGGCGCGCTCCTCTGGCTTTGGCCCGGCTCCCTCGAGGCGCAGCCCCGTCTGCCCCCTGCCCGGGCCTCCCGCGGCCCGCTAGTCCCCCCCGCTGTTCCTCCCCGCGGCCTCGGCCAGGCCGCAGCCCCCAGCCCCGGCGACCGACTCGCCAGGATCCGCCCCGCCGCGGCGGCCCGGGCCCAGCCGCTCCTCCCCCGATGATGTCACGTCCCCGGCCGCCCCTCGGCCGGCCGCGCCGCCCCGCCCCCGCCTCCCCCGGCCCCCAGTCCCCTGGGCCCGCCCGCTCCCGCCATCCCTCCTCCCGCCCGCGCTCCCTCCCTTCGACTCCCTCTCCCCCGGGAGCGGCGGCGGCGGCGGCGGCGGCGGCGGCGGCGGGATGGCCCGGGCCCGCGGCCAGGCCCCGGGGAGCGGCGGCCGGCGGCGGCCGCGGCGGGGCGGCGCGGGAACCGGGCCCCGTGGGGAGTCGGCCGGGCTGCTGCTGCTGCTGCTCCAGGTGCTGCCGCCCGGGGCTGCGGCAGGGCCGGGGCGCCGGGGCACGCGGGGCGCCGGCGGCGGCGGCGGCGTCTGCTGGCCCGGCGCTGCCCCTGCCTTTCCCCGGGACGCGCGGCTGCTGCTGCTCCTGCCGCCGCTGCCGCCGCTGTCGCCGCCGCCGCCGCCGAGCTCCGCGCCAGCAGCCTCCGCCTCCCGGATGGTAATCAGCGCCCCGCGCCGGCGCCGCGGGCGGGCGGGAGGTGGGGGCGGTGAGGGGGAAAGGGCGGGCGGCCCCGCGCCCCCGCCTCGCCGGAGGCAGCTCCCGGGGCGCTCGGCTCCCCCCCCCCCTCCGACGACCGCGGCCCTGGGCAGCCGCCAGAGCGCGCCTCTGGGGCGCCTCCGCGCGGACCGGGTGCCGGCTCCGCTCCCGCCCTCCCCGCCCCGCTCGCAGTCCGCCCGCGGGCGCTCAGGCCGCGGGGGAATCCCTCCATCTCCCCGCCCCGCGCCCCGGGAGGGGAGGGGACAGCGCCGGCGCTCGCGGACCCGCTTTCTCCGAGGGAGCGCCCGAGAGGCGAGCGCGCGCTGAGACGCGGGGACTGGGCGCTGCACTCCTGGAGGCGCCCGGTGCCGTCGGGTCGGGCTGAGCCGAGACGCCCGCAGCCGCGGCGGGACCGCATTCCCGGCGGTGGGGGCGCCCACCGACTGCGCGCCCTTATGTTCCCCGCGCAGGACACTCTGCCCCGCGGCGGGCTGAACCTGAAGGAGGAGCCGCTGCTGCCCGCCGGCCTGGGCTCGGTGCGCTCCTGGATGCAGGGCGCGGGCATCCTGGACGCCAGCACCGCGGCGCAGAGGTAAGCGCTCGGACACGACCCAGCGCGCTCGGGTTGGAGTGCTCCGCGCCGCCTTCGCTCAGCCTGCGGTGCTGCTGGGGCGAGGGGTGGGGGGAGCCCCAACTCTGGACAGTCCCAGCAAGCTCTCCTGCCCACCCTGCCCGGAGCTCCTCTGCCTCCTCCTGAGAACGTGGGGCGGGCCGGGGCGGGGCTTCTGCCACCTCTGCCGCGGTCCCGGCTCTGTTCTGATTTCTGACTGTCGCTCAGGGGCCGGGCGGTCCACGGCTCTAGTGTAGAAGGTGTCCTGCTGCCTGCAGTCCCTGGGCCATGCCCCCCAGCCACGGGCCGTCGGGGAACAGCCAACCCCTCCCTCGTGGGCAGTCCCACTACCTCCCCTTGTCCAATTCCGCGGCTCTCTGCCAGGAAAGGCACAAAACCCAGCCCCCTTTCTGCTTTCCCACGCCCCTCAGAGTTGAAGGAGGGGTGTGTGCAAGAGCCAGGAGAGCGGCTGGGGGCTGAAGAGTAGGGAAGAAGCGAGGTGGACAGCCCGATTGGCTTGAGTGATTGGCGCTGGGGCTGGGGCAGGGCGCTCGGACCCCGCCTCTCCTCACAGTGGTTTCCGGGCGGTCCCGGGGAGGCAGCGAGACCCGTGCCGGTCTCCTCTGACGCCTTTGCAGGAGTCTGGGCGGGGGGCCTGGGTGGGGAATGGACTCCCGGATTTGGGAAGGAAGTTTAAAAGGTTTGTCGGCCTGTTCCTCACAACACTTGGACCACGGACTTTCTGTGCCTCTGCTTGCGAGCGGTATGTGTGTGTGTTGGGGGAGGGAGGGGAGATGCTAGCTCTGCTACCAGGAGTTCTCAGCGGTCGGGACTAAGGAGGTGCCCCCTCTGCACATGCCCCGGGCACTTGGGAGCTGGGCTTCCCAGAGGTCTGAGAAGCAGCCTGAAGGGATTCTGATAGGGGCTGCCAGGGCACTGCCCCACCATTCACATCCCCAAGCCTGTTCAGGGGACCCTAACGCCAGCCTCACACACCTTGTTTCATGTGCAAACCGTATCCTGTGTTTCTGTACCCTTGTCGTTTCCTGACTGTCGGAGGGAGCGCTGGGGGGGCCTCTCTGGAGCTCCTCTCTTCAAGAGGAGAGGGTCTTGCCCATGAATTAACTTACATAGCTTTACTCAGGAGATAACTCTATTTCAGGAAAATGGGTAAGTAGAAAACCAAATTCCACCTTTCTAATACAACGACTCTTAGCATTTTAGGGTATTTCCTTCCCATCTTTTTTTCCCATTCACATGTTCACATGTTTTTCCCGCCTGGGCTGTGCATACAGTTCTGTGTCCTGCCTGTTTTTCTATTGGTTCTGGTTTTTCATTTAATTTGAGGTGGTCAGTCTCTTAATGGGGGCTCCTTCTTTTTTCTCCACCATCAGCTGGGGTGAGAGCCCCTTGTGAGAGTGGGTGAAGAGTTTCAGGGGGGCCTCTGGGGTGTAAGGTTCCTATTTCTCTCCCACCTGCCCCTCTGTCCCTGTCTTGAGCCAGCAGATCTGGTGAGGGGGAAGCGTATGCAAAGGAGGTAGTGTGCCTGTAGACTGTGTAGATAAAGACGTGCGGGATGAGGCCCTTTGCCAGGGGATCTGACCAGCAGCAGTGTCGTCTGCACATGATGGGGTCTCGAGTGGCATCGAGGTGTCCAGTCTGAGCCCCCAGGGCCACATTGCTGGGACTCCGAAGGCTTCCCCAGTTTGGCGAGGGGCATTTCTTCAGGCCTGGGCTCCTTATCTGGCAGTCCAGAGACTTCTGGGCCTCAGGACAGAGTTTGGTTGCCCCCAGCCCCATTTGATTGACTCTGGATCACCTCCTTGCATCGGGGAGCAAGCTAAACCTTTCTCCGCATTCTTCCAACAGCGCCCCGCCATCTCCAGTTTGTGTCTTGATCCCCAGTCAGTCCTCTGCTCTGGTCTTTCCCGCCTGAAACTTTTCTCTGTCCCTACCTCCTCCTCTTCAACCTCTGCCCACCCACTTTCTCCCCCTCTCACCTCTGGGAAACGTCCAGGAGCACTTTTCCCCGAGGCTGCTTGGGATCTGACGGTTGTCTTGCCTTTGCCCCACACCCCTTGATGGTCAAGCCTTCTAGATGTTTCCTCCTGTCAGAGGTCAACTTTTAACAATAGCAGTCCCTTGCCCTCCACCTCTTTCCTCCCAGGCTTGAAGGTTAACCTAACTCTGCCCCTCCCCACCCCCCACCATGTACCACCTCAGCCTCCTAGCCCACTGCCCCAGTCCCAGTCTCTCCCCCCTCCCCCCAAAACCATCTGCCACACCCTGGGGGGTGGGCAGAGCGACATTTCCAAAGAACTTGGCTCATGTTCCTCTCCTGAATTAAAAACTTCAGTCACCCCTGCTTCCTCCCAGGTATTCAGCGTGTCCCCCTCTGACCTCAAACTCCCTTCCGAGCCCTTGGCCTGAAACTTGGCATCCAACAACGCCTCCGGAAACAGTTCCCCTGGCCCTGGGATCTGCAGTACCCACTGCATTAAGTCTTACAGTCTCGGGGACCACACCTCACCCCAGCACCTTCTCCATCTGCGCCCTCCCACCCGGACCTCAGGAACGGTTGTTAGTGCTGCCTAAGGATGCTGGCTGCAGACCAGGGTCAGCCCCGCCAGTCTGTGCCTTCCCTTAGGGCAAGGATAGTGGATAGTGCCTTATTCATCCTGACGTCCTCAAGCACCAGGACAGGCTAGAGCAGTCGGGGGGGGGGGGGGGGGGGGGGGCACAGCAAGATCTGCTGAAGGACGCAGGGGTGGATGTTAGAAACGGGGGGGGGGGGAGGGGGCACAGCAAGATCTGCTGAAGGACGCAGGGGTGGATGTTAGAAAGTTCCCAAATCCCTTTCTGCCAGGCTCCCCTCTCCATGTTGATGGTCTCCACCATCTACCTGACCAGGAACCAGGTACAGCGCAGCCCAGTTTTACAGAAGGGAGGGATGGAGGAGAAGGCCCAGAGCCTGCCAAGATCGGTGAGAGAGGCTCTCTGCCAAGAGAAAGGAAGGTCCTGAGCAGAAGAGGGGTGGGGAGAAAAGAGGGGCTCCGTGCCCTTGCCCTGGAGGCAACAGGGGAGGGAAGGGGAGTCCAGCGCAGAGGGCTGGCAGGAACTTCTCAGTGGGGAGCTCCGCGCAAGGCTCCCTGGCAGCTCCTCGACTTCATCTCCAAGCTGCAGATCCGAGCCCCAGCCCGTGTGCCCCGGATGACCCTCCAGACCCTGTTCTCTTGCCGAGGTTCTCGGTCCGGCAGCACCCTGGGGAGACCCCTGTGAGACCCAAACCCGCCCTCCCCCGTGGTCCCAGCGCACAGGCCGGCCCTAGAGGGAAGCCAGCTGGGGCTGCCTTTCCTGTAAGCAGCTGCAGGCCAGCCTCCCTGCTAGGAAATGCTTTTGTTTGCTTTAATAATTAATAGCCGCTCCTCAGCCTGGGACCTGGCAGACAGGCCTGTGGGTGGGTGCGAGGGAGTGAACAGAGAGAAGCAGGGTGGGCAGCCCTATAGATGGAAGGGCGGGCGAGCCGGCCAGGTGAGACCCCCTTCCCTCCCCCACCTCACTGGGGGACCTCTGTGGCTGAGACAACTTCCTGTGGCGGGTGAGCCCAGCCCATCCACAGTGGGAGTGGGGATAGGAAGCAGTGGAATGGGGCGGTGGGGGCAGGGAATATGAAGCAGCCCCACAGCCTCCCCTCCAGCAGACCCCTCTGGACGCTGTTCGGAGCCTCGGGGGCCTCCCTCTGCCCACATTGTCCAGGTGTGTGCGCCCCAATGAGCTGCTGCTTTTATCTTCCTGGTGTGTGGCACAGCTGGGCTCTGGGCGTGTTGGGCCGAGCAGGGCTCAGCCAACAGATCTTGTGCCGGGGCCAGCAACGCCAGGCCCCTCGTGATGGTTATCAGCAGTCTCATGGGCCCCAGGGAGGCGGGGGGCCTGCAGGGAGCAGGGCCAGTGGGACACCTGGAGGAAGAGAGGAGGGCGCAGAGAAAGGAGAGACCTACGTGGTGGTGCCAGGATGGGGAAAAGAAGAGCTGCAATTAGCAGAGACTTTAGGGGAAGCGAGAAAACAGGATGAGATGCAGGAGACAAGCATTTTGTTCCTTCCACCTCCTGGGGGAAGGCAGGTTAAAAGGAGCCTCCCCCCCCCCCCCATTGCAGATGACCTCGGGGCTTGTCCCCAAATCCCCCGCATCCCAGATTCCAAGGTGGATCAGGCCCAAGGCAAAACAAAGCTCAGGACTTAAGGCCATCCAGGTGGGCACGAGTGGGGGCTGGGGAAGGCAGGTGAGGAGGTGCCTCTGAGGGGACCCCAAACTCCAGCCTCGGCCCCTTGTCCTCTGAGGGGTTTGGGAGGCTTGTTTTAAATTGCCCTCATTTATTATAAACATGTAGTCAAGGACATAAGGAGCCCCAGGTGACCTCCTGAGGAGACAGCTGAGACTGTGAGATGCTCTCTGTACTGGAGAGCTGTCGCAGGGTCCAGCCGCTGCCTCCAGAAGGGTGTATCCTGCTCAGCCTGGCCAAGGAGCATCTCCAGGGACCGCCGTGGCCCCAGCAATAGCAGCCAGACAACTCTGCAGCCCCCCGCGTGTCCCCGCACGCATCCCTCATATGCTTTAAAGCACGGGCCACCTGAATGGCCCTGGCTGTGAAGGTCAGATTGTCCTTGGGGTCAGCTTTAACCTAGAGTCCATGCACAGCGCTTAGGAAGCCCATGCACCTCCCTGCCTGCCACAAAGCAGGTGTCCTCAGACCCTAAAGGAGTCACGTGAACCAAAGCTCTCCTGTCCCAGCTACCTTTAACTTCTGGGCTGTTTCAGAACAGAAGATGGGAAGGGGGTGAAGTGGGCTGTTGTGGAAACAGGAGAATGAGCCCTTTCTCCTCCTCCATCTCAGGTCTTTGGCACAAGAGCAAATGCCCCACCACCTCAGCCCACTCCAGAGTTGATAGGAAACCGTTTTGGAACATTTTGTTGAAAATAATC